TGAAATGATGATATAGTATCCTGTAGCTTCGTTCCCGTCCTTTGTGTTAGTGCACCAGATAAAAAATGACTTTCATGTTGCGTGACAATTCTAAATAAATTTCGAGATGTTTCTTTAGTTCAGAGTACTGCCAAAGGTGGCTCTCAAGCCTCCGCATACACTAAAGCACTGGAAGTTGACCGTGGTAAACCCAGACATACCCTCAAGCTCCTTGCCAATAACAAGCGAAGTCTCCTTTCGGTGGAGGTTGGAAGTCCGTGCAGCAAAGGCAGGGAGTAAGTTACGATGGGGCGTATCCAGGCAACATGTAGGGCCAATAACGACTCTGTAGTATCACCCCATTTGGCCTCGCAGAGATGGCGGAGGATTCGAATGGCCTGATTTCCTTTTTTTCTCAAGGGACTGGACATGAGGCGACCATGTTAGCCTCCGGTCTAAAATTACTTCCAAGAATTTATGAGTTTTAACCTTTTGAACAGGCTGATTTTCCAGAACATTCTGGAAATTTTCAGGTCTTCTTAATATAAACGGAACTATGGCTGTTTTAGCCAGACTCAGTGCCATACTTCTTTCTTTAGAAAACGGTCTACATAATCGAAAACATCGCGTTGGCAAAGAAGTCCGGGCCCCGGAACATGCCGAAGTGGAACTTTTTGCTGGGCCAGACACAGCCAAGGAGCCACTGACTACCAAAGGGAAGGGTCACAGCAGCTTGCTGAGGAACAATTCTTCAAGAAATGCAATCTCGGCGGAGACAGCCGGAAACGAGCAAGCCATTCTGCCAATATTTTTTGCGGCTCTTGAAGCAATTCTACGATCCCTGCCACAAGCAGGTTCGTTACCAGAAGTGATATTGCTGCTAGATGTTGAGCATCTTCTCTTGTCGTAATTATGGCTACGGGACTATCTAACTGGTACAAAAGAAGTGCAATATTTCAGTGGAACTTTAACAGTTTGCAGAATAAGAGTGGAGATTTTTGAAAATTCGTCGCTCAGCACGGGTTCCCGATTTTGTGTATTTCTCAAACAAGAGTATCCACTAACTTTCGCTTGTCCAATTATGTGGTATACCAAGCAGAACGTCCTGCTGCAAAAAGCAGAGTGATGTTGTGTGTGAGACGCGATATTCGGTCGACACTTGTGGCTATTTCAAAAACAGATGCGCCGGAATTTGTTAGATGCTAGGTGAAGTTTGGTAACGTCATTGTAACTGTAGTTAGTGTTTACGTGCATTCTCAAGCAAATGATTCATATGCAGAGGTGACTGGAGTGTGTAGATCTGATCATGATCCCATAATTATATGTGGTGATTTTAACGCGCACCATGAATTGTGGGGTAGTGAGCGTTGTAATGTAAGAGGATCTGCTATAGTAAAAATATGCGAAGACCATGGTTACACTATACTAAATGATGGTTCTCTGACGTTTCTACGGGGGCATAACTTCTGCAGCGTACTAGACAACACTGTGTGCTCCTCTGAATTAGAGGCTGGAGCAGACTGGACAGCAGACGCTGATGCAAGAGGAAGTGACCACTTACCAGTATTCATATATCACCCAAAAATGAAGAAAGCGAAAAATAATCGCACAACAAGAATTACAAATTGGGCAATCTTTCGAGAACTACAGAGACAAAATCTTGAACCTTGTTCTGACGCAGAAGCGTATGCATCGAAGATAAAAAAAATTCTAACAAAAGCAACTCGTGCAGTACCCATTCCAGATGGGTATTCGGGTGTTGACGCTGAGTATGAGAGGCTTCGGGCAATACGACGGCGATCTGAAAGAAGATATCGCAGGTCAGGCAATTTAGAAGATTTCAAGGTTGCACAGAAAGTACATTCTACAATGCATAACCAACTGCAGACGCTTTCAACCAAAAGGTGGCTAGATTTATGTGCCTCACTTTCTTCATTTACCTCGGCGCTTCAACTGTGGAACATCGTACGCGCCCTCGGACAGCCAGTAGTCCACCGGAGACCACTACAGGCTCTAGCGCTGTCTTGAGGAGTTAGCGCACGTGTGATTGCTGAAGAATTTTGCGATCTTATACTGAGAAATGGAGAGACCGCCCAAACTAGCAAATATAAATCCTCAGCAGAATCAGCTTCGGCGGTTGTAACAAAGTTCTCTGCGATCAGTTGATCAGATCTGGATGACAGCTTCACATCAGAGGAGCTACAGTTTGTGCTGTCTTCAGTAAAACGAACAAGTTCACCAGGAACAGAGGGAGTTACATACGCTGCTCTTGCTAGTTTGTGCAAGAAAAGAAAATTACACCTGTTGGACATCTATAATGAAAGTTGGCAAGAAGAAAAAGTTCTGGAAAGTTGGAAGATATCAGAAGTAGTACCGTTGCTAAAGCCAGGGAAGAGCCCTACGCAGTTGACTCGTTTAGGCCGGTTAGTTTGACAAGCTGTTTTTCAAAAGTGATAAAAAAAAGGATCAATGAACGAATTTTATGGTGGCAAGATATGAAAAAACTACTACCAGAAAGCACAGCCGGCTTCAGAAGAGGTAGACGCACAATGGACTGCATTCTGGATTTGGTCACAGATGTGGAAAACGAAGGAACGCAAGGAAACATCACTGTCGCTGTATTCCTTGATGTCCACCGAGCATACGACACAGTGAGTCACGTTCACGTTCTGGAAGGGCTGGCGTTACAGAGATTCAAGGGCAAGATACTGCGTTGGGTTGCTGACTTCCTGAATCACCGGAAAATTTTTGTAGTTACGCAGGAGGAACCAACGTCAGAACATGTCGTCAACCAAAGAGTGCCACAGGGCAGCAAGCTAAGCCCTACTCTATTTAATGCAGTCATGGCGCAGCTCCCGTATAATCTTCCACCTAACATCAGATGTTCAGTATATGCTGATGATATAAGTATATGGACGTCTGGTCCATCGTTTTTTTTTGTCCCGTGTAATCGACGATCTTCTGCGCTCTTCCTCAACGCACTACAAGCTGACCACTTCCTACCATCCCCAAACGAATAGCCTTACCGAACGGTCAAATCGGACCCTCACGGACATGCTCGCGATGTACGTGTCCTCGGACCACCATGACTGGGACCTGGCGCTACCTCACGTGACCTTCGCGTACAACTTTTCGCGCCACGACACTACTGGTTATTCACCCTTTTATTTGCTCAATGGTCGTGATCCAACGTTACCACTCGACACCCTACTTCCAACCACTACCACGCCGTTAACCGAATAAGCACGCGACGCTATTGCTCGTGCCGACCACGCACGTCAGATCGCGCACTCTAGACTTTCGGCTTCGCAAGCCATCCAGAAAGCCATCCACGACAGCCGGCATGCTGACGTTCACTTCTCACCCGGTTCTCTTGTTCTCCTGTGGTGCCCAGTTCGTCGAGTTGGCTTATCAGAGAAGTTGTTGTCTCGCTACATGGCTCCTTACCGTATCATCCGAAAGGTAACCGACGTCACCTATGAGATCATTCCTGCATTTGAGACCACAAGCCTGCCTGCAACCGCACACAGTGATGTAATGCACGTCAGCAGGCTAAAACCTTACCACCTGCCTACTGAAGACCGTAGTTAATGTGCACCGAGAAGGCTCTTTTACCGCCGGGGTGGGGGGTAATGCTACGTAGCTGATATATCAGCGGTCAGAAGACGACAACGAAGAAGTGGTCTGTCGATTGTGCGTGCTGTCTTCCATCTTTGTTGACGCCATACGCATCAGTTTGAATGTAGATTTTAAATAGACACGCCTCGTGTCATTTTTACGTAACAATACTGGTGAGTTTTGCTAGATTTCTCCGGACAATTATTGTTTCTTACGATATCATCCTGGTCGTCTCAACTGCTGTATAGATCTCTGTAGAACTTCTCTGCTACCTTAACTCTCCTACCCTTATAGGTAGTGCGTTTGCCTTCAATGTCCTTTGATGCACCCATTCAATAGCTAACACAGTGTGATTGCTGAAGATTTCTCTGTCTTCCACGTATGTACCATAAGCTTCATGCATAAAACAGACTATTTAACCTAACTATTATACCCCGATCATGCAAAATTTAGCGCCTAATTCCAACACTTCAAGTAACTCCTTTATTAAACCATCAGTCACTCGTCAATTAAACGGTCGTACGCGGTAGACCGCATAATTACGCTACAGCTTCTTATTGCAACTATCCCTACTTCAAATTTCACCGCAAAAGTGAAAAACTGTGCATGTCCCATGAGGCGAAAAAGTCGCTGTCAAATTACGATAAAAAAACGGTCGCAGATACGGTAACGTAGCTACACAGCAGACTTCTTATCAAGGAGTAAGATATAGTGGCCATTAAGATGACGAAATTAAGAGCCGATTTCACGGGGGTATAGTTTATCAGGGGATGGGGGGAGGGGTATTTGATATTTTATTGATGTTCGTGTGTCTCTTTGCATGTGTGCTCGTATATATACGCCTAGAAAATTGAAAAATAACGAGGGATATCGGCTGAACTCCCCCCTTCCCCCAGCCTTCCACTTCTGCACCAATGGTGTTTATTGCTCAAGAGCATGCATTGCAGATAACTTTGTACAATATTTCTGTGAACAGTTGTGACGCATTGTATCACGATGGACTTTAGAGTTGTCTGCGCCCGAAAGTGGGTGAAGTACAATGAGGGTGGAAGCGAACACAGAAGTGAGAATAAAATGGATGACTCTCTGAGACTGCGTGTGTTTAATGCGTTAGTACCTAGTCGGAACGCTGCCGTACCTAGAATGCAAAACATACCTTAAGGCAGCGACAAACCACGCTCTGATTTCCTAGCTGTGGAGCATAACAGAGCAAGGCCATCTTAGCAAACTCATATATAAAGCCTGGCATGAACTCACGGAAAGTGACCAGGGTCCAAGGTATATATTCTGTAGTGTAGCCGATGAAAGGGTGATACATTCTCGTTAAATTAAGTACGAGCTTGCGTGATCAAGCTAATCCTTATTGTGTTCTTACCGGATCCCTTTTCTTTCACTTTGGACAGGGATTGTAAAGAATGCTAAAGCTACTATGGTGGCTACAAAACTTTTGGAGAAATGCTCTTTTACCATTGCCACGAAGTACAAGTTTTCACCCAGGATGATACAGACGGTGAGGCCTCTCTTGTTCTCGTTACATCATGATGTAATCACTGCATGCAGCTCTAGATAAACCAAAACGCCTGTGTTAGACAAGGCGGGTAGCTACAGGGACTATTTTCATGAGCTCCGGAATAACATAGCTAAATATTTGTGTGGTTTTCCAGAAGTGCACAAAGAGATGTGCTAAACGTCCCAGTCGTTTGGTAGAAAACTATAAAAATCAGAAATATACACCCCAAAAAAGGAGAGTACTGGTTATTCATAGTATATTACATAGTTTGGTAAATGATGTGAATATATACAGTGTATAATGTGCACCATTTGCGAACAACATATTGCGCATGTTCAGCACCCTGAAAGAAAAAGAAATAAGGGTTGTACTTAATAATTTGTGAACAATACCATTACTATATAAAGACGCTGTAAGGCATTCTAAAAACGTTTAGACTGAGAACTCTGGTTTTCTGTACCGTTATTGTGAGTGCATCAGCACTTCCCTGTACTTCCAAGCATGAAAAGTGATTTATTGGATGATATACTTAGAAGCGAAAGACAAAAAACCTCGGTAAATAAACAAAAATAAAATTATTTAGTGTAAAAATGAAATCCAGGGGACAATGATTTTAAAAAAAGATGTTGATATTGTTTTCGTGTTTTCATTTGTGTCTCGTCTATTCATAAATTAATGCTACCAACTAACGAACTCCCCGTAGCCCAACTCTGCATGTTTGTGAGCTTCTTAATGCAGGAGTTCTATTGCTTCTTATAAAGCAGCACAAGAGGCCATAAGATGCAAAGTAAGTAACAACAATTATATCACTAATAAAAAAATAACTATGCCATCTAAATTTTCATATTCCACTTGTAGGCTAGTGAAGGTTTTGCACGTGACAAGCGAAAAGACTGGAGGCAAACTCCGCATTTATTTCATTTTTATTTTCACATTCTTCAGTCTCAATGAGGCTATTGGATGAGTGGAAAAAGAAGAAAACAGCAACAAATCAACATTTATCAACCGGGTTCCAGATAATTCTTAGTGTAGGGTTTTCGAGGCTGCTGGCGGACAAGAACCCCGCAAGAAAGACGCGGAGCCAGACCAGGAACCTTGTTTATTTCTCTAAGCCACGACTGCAACTGGCCGCTGCCAGGGGCTGCCGCGTGCCCCGAGCGCACCCGCGATTGTCATTGGCCTTTTCTTTCTGTAATCGGTAGGCTTGCGGATCAATCGATATGTAGGGTTTAACGTGCGAAAACCACTTAGTCATTATGAGAGACGACGTAGTAGAGGACTCTGGAAATTACGACCACCTGGGGTTCTTTCCCTGCAACCAAATCTGAGCACACGGACCTAAAACATTTTCGCCTCCCTCGGAAATGCAACGGCTGCAACCGGGACTCGATCCCACAACCTGCGGGTCAGCAAGTGATTACCTTAGGCACTACACTACCGTGGGGAAGCTGTAGGCTTGCGGCCACCGCTGCCATAAGTGGTAGTGAGCAAACACTTCCATGCAGCAAAGTCCAGGCTTCTGTAGCTGAAGAGAAAAAGCTATATTTGCACATGTAGGTGTCGGGGAAATAAGTTTCAATGCTGTGAAGTACTACCGTAGCAGCTCCAGTGAAATCATTATGGCTGAATGTCGATCATGTTCTGCATATGCGTATTCATCATCATCATCATCATCATCATCATCATCATCATCATCATCATCATCATCATCATCATCATCATCATCATCATCATCATCAGCCTGACTACGTCCACTGCAGGTCAAAGGCCTCTCCCATGTTCCGCCAGTTAACCCGGTCCTGTGCTTGCTGCTGCCAATTTATACCCGCAAACTTCTTAATCTCATCTGCCCACCTAACCTTCTGTCTCCCCCTAACCCACTTCCCTTCTCTGGGAATCCAGTTAGTTACCCTTAACGACCAGCGGTTATCCTGTCTACGCGCTACATGCCCGGCCCATGTCCATTTCGTCTTCTTTATTTCAACAATGATATCCTTAACCCCCGTTTGTTCCCTAATCCACTCTGCTCTCTTCTTGTCTCTTAAGGTTACACCTACCATTTTTCTTTCCATTGCTCGCTGCATCGTCCTCAGTTATTATATATGCGTATTATATCCTATTAAAGAAAGTGCTAGCCTACATTGCTCTGGAAAGTAAACCCGAGCAGTATTTGAAGATATATGAGAAGTACACGCAGGCTTCTAAACTTATGTAGAATGCTAATTCTGGATAATGGAAACTTCTGGAGTATTATCTATTTAGCTTGAAACTAGTAATTTTAAAGAGCACCACAGACTCATGAAATATAATTGGCATATAATGATGATAACATACTCTTTAACTTTATTAGATTTCCTGGTTAGGTTTTTCTTGACAACGTGAAGCAAATCAGCTGCAACCTTCTTTTGCACACTTTTTTCAAGTATATTATAGCACAATTTATTGAGTGAAATGAAGCTTTTAATAAATGAGGAATTATTTGTCTTTTGCTGCAGGGTGCCCGAAAATTGTGCATCGTATTCCGCTTATGCTATCATAAGTACCAGCCCGTTCTAAACACAAGTGTAAGTAATACAGTTGAAACCATAGATGTCATGAAGGGTTCACCACTTTATAACTATACGGGAAAATCGCGATGTTGTTTAGAGTATAAGCTAAAGTTTTTCGCAAGATAAGTTAAGGAGCTCAAGTGAGCTCTCCCGCGGAGTTCTCTCCTCTAAAATTCGCAGATAAAAGGGTCTTTCGTTGCGTGACTATGGTTTTTGAAAGAAGGACTTGCTTTCGACTTACTAAACTCGTGAAGTTCGCGTGTTGTATTCTACATCTCAGCTGCGCGTTGGTGTGGTTGTAGGCTGCGTGAATGGTGAAGTGATCGAATATGACAGCCCGATCATTTCTTGTCGCCCGCACAGGTACGTAACCTGAATAGTCTCAGTGCGACTACTTCCGTTGCTATGTGTACGTATACTTCTGCAGATTATCACGTTGTTCTGTGACAGCATACGCGTGAGAGCAGAAATAGGAGCTTTCATAGAATGTGAAGCTACGGCTGCCTACACTATCTGATCTCGCCTTCGTTTAGCAAGAACTTCAGGAGTTCATTCACGAGCAGCGACACTTAAAGAGACGCTCGGAAAGTGTCACCACTAGAGCATGATCCATGGTGCTTCGGAGCGTGCTAAATCAATGCGCCCATTACAGATTAGATTCATTAAGCGGTACATACATATCACCTGTTTTCGCTGCAGAAATATTAGGTTCAAGTAATCAACACGCGGAACAAGGACCAAGGGAAATGTAAAGTTAATGAAGCCATTCATACAGAGTAACTATCACTGCAATCCGAACGATTGGTTGAGGCACACCATGCATTAATATTTTGATTTCGTATACCCGCGAGTGCGCGTATGTAGACTACAGCCTGCCATACTAGTCAGGTTTAGTAGCGTTCGTTTACTGGTTAGGCATTTCGACTTCAGCTGCGCAGTGTGTGATACTTTGGAATTCTGTGTGACTACCGTATTGTGCGCTAAACAGTTACGCTGGTCATCAATCATGGCAGAGTCGAATGGGTCCTCGATCTTATCCCTGTGTTGTGAATGTACGTGAATTTTTAATTTACATTGCTATCACCACCTGAGAGCTTCGTGAGTGGTTTATTGTGGTTCTGATACCACACTCTCAGAGTTGAACCCGCGACGCTTGCCTCGCACAATGTCATCGACGACACACAATGCCTATGTGCGAGCCAAGCCTCGAATGTTCTAATTCTAAGAGTGCGGCTTCACCTTTTCAGCGGCCAGCGGTTACGAGACAACGGCTCATTTTCAAACCATAGAGTATTATGTTCAAGCTGCGATCGTACATGTCTCTTTCGGTTAGAAAAGTGCCGACACGCGCATTGTTTTGGACGGTGGAATCGAGAGGACATTAGTGAGAGGCCGAAAACTTTCAAAAAAACTCAAATGCAAAACGACGGACCACGAGAATTTGTCAGTGGGATCTTTCAATGGCCATAAAACTAAGCAAAACTTTGAGAGTTACACTGCACCTAAGAGAGTTACACTCCACATGAAGTTATTAGTTGAGAGTTACTCTGCACCACTGAGAGTTACACTGCACATGAAAAATCAAGATATAGTATGAATACACTTGTCATTAGGAAGAACCAGTTCCATAACTTCATGACAGTACACTCGAAGAACTGTCAAACCATGGTCTTGTCTTGTTGGTTTCGACCTGTCAGCCAAAAGCGCTGACGAGAAGTCAATAGAGATCCTAATCGGAGCCGACCATTACTGGGAACTTGTGACAGGCCAAACAAAGACCTTGAACTATCGTTTAAGGGCGGAAGAAACAGCATTTGACTGCACAGTTCATGGACTGGCAAGAACTAATATAACAGAGTTGTGCAAAGAAGCTGTCGTTCTGAACGTGGTGGAATCCCTGGCCTCTAGTCAAAGCGAGATTTCTTCGACGAGAACTACTGAAGTTTAACAAAATGCCTCACAACTGGGCCCCTTTTTGGAGATAGTTTCAAACCATAGTCCACGAAAACCGAAATTTCACTGATGCGGGCAAGTTTGTCTATTTGAGATCAGTGCTGACAGGCCTCACTGATGCGGCTATCACTGGACTACGTGTGAGGTCGAGTTGTTACAAAGCCGCACGGGCCATCCTTATTGAACAGTTCGCTTAGGAAGACATCGTTGTCAAAAAACCACGTTGAGTGCCTCATCGACGGGCAAGTCGTTCGGTCAACCGCTTATGTACGTGGAGAGCGTCGCTTGTACGATAATATCGAGGCGAATATTCCTAGTCTCCGGGCGTTGAAGATAACAGAGAAGTCGTTCTCGACAGTTCTACAACCGATCATCTTCTAAAGTCTACCGTGAGATTTGGTACTCCAGTACTACCGGTGAGGCAATAAAGTCAACGAAAACTCGCCGCCTAGAGGAAACGGAGGAGTAGGTGAGCAGACGCCCTGTGCACTGCAGGGCAGGCTATGATCTTTGCTTAACTTTATTAGTAGATCTGTGAAAGCACAAGAACGCTGTGAGTCCTGGGTTTCGGCCCCGCTTTGAGAGATAAATGCCTTGGGTAGCGTAGTTAAAAGCTCTAACGCTTTAGAGAACTCATGCTTCACCCGTTGGTCAACCAGGCAAAAAATAAAGCGTGCCTTGAGGAATCGAGCCGCGTGTGAATGCCGCAACTTCTTCTTCGTTGGAAGTTTCAACAAAGATAGTGTGGTTAGTGCTCCTTGAAGTCACTAAAGTATGTAGGTTAAGTCACCAATGCTGATTTGAGATTCACGTACCACCTGTCAAATCTACACACAAGCCTTGGAGTTTATTTCTCATGTTTTGCAGGGTTACAACGCATACAGTGAAGCTGTTTATCCCTGCGTCGCAAAAATGGCCCCTTTGTTAATAGTGAAGCTGAATCCCGTAAGTGTTGGTTTTGCTTTAATAAATATTTATTTGTGCATATATTTGTGACTAACTCATACAATGCCAAGATGGCCATTGTTATAGAAGGTGTCACACAATTTCGCAAAACAATCACTATTGAAGCTGTGAAACAAGCCAGAGTAACTGTCATATTTATTTTAGTTTATTGCTTGTTACACACAAACATCATAATGGGTTACTAGAGAACAAAAAAAACGGCAATAAAAGTGCCTACATCAAAAACAGCTAACAAAAAATCTAAAACAGTTATCAGAAAACTTTATTGGTTGTACAGTCGCAAACAAAATGGTTGTAAACTCGTCACTGAGCTAATAATAAGTATGGAGTCGTCTGGTGTAATCTCATTATTAGAAGTTTCACCACAAAAATATTTAATTGAAAAAATGTGGATAGCCAAAAATTCGCTTCTAAGCATTTTTGATGTTACTTGTGGTAAACTGCCCCGCCAAGTGGCAATTGCCACTAGACCAAGTGGTCTAGTGGCAAAGGTACTCGGCTGCTAACCCGTAGGTCGCGGTATCAAATCCCGGCAGCGGCAGCTGCATTTCCGATGGAAGCGGAAATGCTCTAAGCTCGTGTGCTCAGATTTAGGTGCACGTTAAAGAACATCAGGTGGTCGAAATTTCCGGAGCCATCTTATACGGCATCTCTCACAATCATATAGGGGTTTCGGGAAGTTAAACCCCACGTATTATTATCATCATCAGTGGTGGAAATAGTGTTAATACCGTCACTTACAAATCATGCAGTGCGGTTTTTATGCACTCAAATATAGTTTAGTTATGAATATACCATAGTTTCATGCCTAATAAACGGTTGGTAGCTTATTAGTGACACATGGGAGCTTGATACATCTCAGTCGATTTTGTAAGTTATGCTTCACAAAGTTGACCGTTCCACTGGCTTTACAAACAACGTAGCTTATATGGATACACAAAGATACCTCAGAATATAAAAAAAAACATCGAGGTTCTTGAAGAGTTCGCGACTGAGTGTTGTATCAGACAAGCTGTAACAAGAATGAAATAGTCTGCATTTCACTTCATAACTGACCTGTAAACACTTACATTCCAACATTCCAACATTCCAACACACTTTCGGTCGGCTTTTCATACTCTGATGGTGCAGTGCAAAAAAGGCGTTGAAGGGCATACATCTCATTCGTACAGTCTATATAATCGTAAGAGCTTTGCCAAATAATTGAAAAAAGCGAAAAGAGGAAAGGTCTTAGCAATTGCGCTCCCCAGTATATATATATAAATATATATATATATATATATATTTATATATATATATATATATATATATATATATATATATAAATATATATATATATATATATATATTATTTATATATATATATATATATATATATATATATATATATATATATATATATATATATATATATATATATATATATATATATATATATATATATTGCCGCGAACCATGCATTGGTTTGTTTATTTGTGTTTTGTTTTCTTGGCCTGGCTGCGCCGGCCTGTGCTATCGCCGTTTTCACAGCGTTTCGAACAAACGCTATCGAACAACCCTTCAGGCGTTGTTCGATAGAAACAACGCTTCAAGCGTTGTTTGTTAGAGGCGCTGTTCGAACGAACAGCGTTTCTAACAAACGCTATCACGGCGTTCCTGATACAATTCGACTATTCGAGAAACCCTCGGCCGAGGGATATAAATTCCGGCACAGCCGATGCCGCGTCATTCGATCGCCGACGCTCACTAGCGTGCCCGTCGTTTTGCTGGCCGCTGCTTCGCCGCCTGTGTATTTTTTTCAGTTGTTAGGGGAGCGCAGGTTCGCTCCAATAAACTTGTTTTCCTCATAGACAACTGCATCATCCTTTGCTGCGTGACATCTGGTGGTGGTGCGGGGTACATGAACACTAAGCCATTGCCAAGCCGACAAGCACGCCCAACTCGTGTCAGCCGCCGACAGCAAGGCCTTCACCCAGAGTTTGGACTGCTCCCGGATAAAAAAAAAAGGAAAGAAGACGTAAAAACCACGATGATCAACGCAGGCACCATGACCAGCGCTACCAACCCTCCCGTCGTTTTGCAACAACCTCGTGAGCCCCCATCATTCCGAGGATCTCCTGGTGAAGACCCGGAAGAGTGGCTGGAGAAGCTGGAGCGCATCCGCATCTTTAACAGGTAGGATGACGAAGAAACGTTGCGTCATGTCTTCTTCTATTTGGAGGATGCAGCTTGAACGTGGTTTGAGAACCATGAAGGCTCCCTAACTGACTGGACTGTCTTTAAGAGCGAATTCCTCAAAACATTCGCTACGGTTGTGCGGAAAGAACGAGCCGCCCTTTTGTTGGAGACGCGAATGCAACACCCTAACGAAGGTGTTGTTCTGTTCGCTGAGGAGATGAAGATGCTGTTCCGGAGAGCGGACCCCGAATTGGCAGAAGAGAAGAAGGTGCGCTTTCTGATGCGGGGAGTTAAACAAAAGGTCTTCGCTGGACTCATCCGCAACCCCCCTAAGACCGTCGCTGAGTTCGTCACCGAGGCTTTGATGATCGAGAGGACCTTGGATATGCGTTCGCGGCAATACGATAAAGCACTCAACACCCTTTCGGTGAACCCGGTAAACGCCCCTGGATTGGCGGCGGAAGACTTGCGGGAGACCATCCGCGCCGTCGTTCGCGAGGAACTGAGGAAATTGTTCCCAGCAACGCTGCAGCCCCAAGTCGCCTCCCTCACTGACGTCGTCCGCGAGGAGGTTCAGCAAGCACTGGGGAATTTCACGCCGTCAGAAGCATCTTGCGAACCACAAGCGATGACCTACTCCGCTGCTGCTCGTCGACCCCGACCCGTCCCAACCCGTTATCAAGAGGCCCCGCCGTACCACCGCCCAATGTCACCCGCCCGACCCCCTGTAACCCGAAACCAGGCGCCCAGGAAGACCGAGGTGTGGCAAACGCCAGATAATCGTCCGCTGTGCTACCACTGCGGAGAGGCCGACCACGTCTACCGCCGCTGCCAGTACAAGAGGCAGGGTTTGCGTTAGTTCCCCGTCGACGCACCCCACCCGCGAGCCGGCCAGCGCCCATTTGAGATCGAAGAATACCTATCGAACACCAGCCGTGGACCATCCCGTTTCAACCGTTCGCCGTCGCCCTATCCGTACCAATCTCCCAACCGTCGCTGCCATGCTGATTTCGCCCGTTGAAGGTCCCCCAGCCCACGAGGGGGAAACTAAAAGCAGCAACTTCTGGAGGTGAAGTTGCGCAACGGCGAGAAAATGAAAACCCTCCAACGACGCAAGACCGTGACTCACGACATGCCCTCATCCCGATGACCCGACGACACCCTGACGAGACCCCCGAAAACGACGACAGCTACGGTGCGCGACGCGTACCCGAAATGACGAAGCCTGCCGCTGAGAAGACGACGATGACGACGCATAGTGCCCGACCATCAACACGTGCAAGCCGCGATACGACGCCCCGACGCACACGAAATTCGAGGAAAGCGGCATCCGACGTCCAGTTGTCCATCGACGGCCTTGACGTAGTCGCCCTCATCGACACGGGAGCCGACTACTCGGTCATGAGCGGGTCATTCGCGTCCAAGCTAAAGAAAGTTACGACCAGATGGGACGGTCCGCACATACGCACAGCAGGAGGCCACCTCGTGACCCCAAGTGGAATGTGCACATCGCACGTCACCATAGACGGCACTACGTACCCTTCGGAGTTCGTCATTTTGCCTAACTGCTCACGCGACGTAATTCTCGGAATGGACTTTTTGACGGACAATAGCACAATAATTGATCTGCAGACCAGGTCGATAACGTTTTCTTACGATCACTCCACGACGCCGCAGCCGAACCTCGGACACCGTGCTGCTGTAAAGATCGCCGACGATCACGTCACCCTGCCACCCCGCGCAAGCCTGATGATCGCCGTCTATTGTGAAAGTGCTGCTCCTGACGTCGACGCTATCGTGGAGACTGACCAAAGGTTGCTCTAGACCGCGGTGTGTCTGTCGCATGAGGCATTGCGCGGATTAAGCAACGCAGATCCCACGTTTTGGTCACCAATTTCACCGAAGAGTACCAGCATCTAAACAAGGGCGCTGCAATTGCGTTCCTCGAAGAAACGCAAGAAGCGAGTCAAGTGATCGCGGTCGCCACCTTTGAACGCGCACGCGCAGATGCTTCCCGGTTGCCACATCCTTTCTACGTGAACCCGGCGCTGTCGCAAGAAAATCGGGACAGATTACTGTAGTTGATCCGTCGCTACAGCGAGTGTTTTTCCTCGAACTCGAAGTTACGTCAGACACCTTTGGCGAAGCACCGGATAATAACCGAAGATGGAGCCCGACCTACCAGACAGTCACCGTACCGCGTTTCTTCCCACGAGCGCGAAGCCATCCGGACTCAAGTTGATGACATGCTCAGCGACGACATAATACAGCCACCAAAAAGTCCGTGGGCTGCGTCGGTTGTACTCGTGAAGAAAAAAGACGGCACTTTAAGATTCTGCGTTGACTACCTGAGACTAAACAAAATCACCAAAAAGGACGTGTACCCCCTGCCACGAATCGACGACGCCCTCGACCACCTCTGCCACGCCAAGTACTTCTCATACATGGATCTGAAGACCGGCTACTGGCAAATTGAAGTGGACGAGAGAGACCGAGAGAAGACTGCATTTATAACCCCGGACGGTCTATACGAGTTCAAGGTGATGCCGTTTGGGCTGTGCACGGTGCCCGCAACGTTTCAGAGAGTCATGGACACTGTGCTAGCAGGCCTGAAGTGGCACACTTGCCTCGTATACCTCGACGACGTTGTCGTATTCGGCCGGACTTTCGACGAACACCTCACAAGGTTGGAATCTGTACTCGAGGCCATTCGTACGTCGGGGTTAACGCTGAAGCCTGAGAAGTGCCGTTTCGCGTACGAGGAACTCAAGTTCTTGGGTCACGTCGTGAACGCCG